CCCAAGTCTCCCCAACAAACTTAACAACAAGACCTCTCACTTAGCAGCTGCAGCCTGGCTCATCAAAAGCAAAACGATTCATTCCCTCGGTCAGGACCAATACTTCCCCCTCCAACCCAGGTGAAGATCCTGACCTAAGAAAGGACTTGCAACCACCAAGCCTAAGTCCAGAGGTATGTAGTTTTTCCACGGCCCTCCACCCCAACCCTGTATTCCATCCCTTCTCCTAACACCTTCTGCCCCCTTCTACTTTTCATCATTATCACAACCACCCACTTTCTCCCCACCATCCTACCTCTGCCCCTTCCCTACTTTGCCCTTTAGAAAGACTCCAATTAGCCTAATTACTTTTTTTGCCTTTAGTTTTATTTTATGTATATGGATGTTTTGCCTGCATGAATATCTGTACACTGTGTGCACAAGGTACCTGTGGAGGCCAGAAAAGAGGGTCAGATCCCTTGGGGCTGGAGTTAAAGACAATTGTGAGCTGCCATATGGGTTTTGGGAATTGAACCCAGGTCCTGTGCTGAACCATCTCTCTAATGAGCTTAAAGTGTAACACCTTAAGATAGCTACTGTCTCTGATGCATAGGGAAAACTAGGGAGCCATGAAACACAAGAACCCTCAGGTAGCACGTGCAGATGATGACAGAGTCTGTTTTGGAAGGCCGCATGGTGGCACTAGCCTGTAATCCCAGTACTTGGGAAGCAGAGGCAGGAGAATTGCTACCTGTTCAAAGCCAGTTTGGTCTATATAGCAAATTCTAGGCCATCCGGGACTATATAGTGAGACCCTGTCTCAAAAGACCAAGGGTTGAGGTTGTAGCTCAGGGATAGAGCACTTGGCAGCATACAAAGGCTGTCACTCAGTCCTTAGCACCAGAAGGGTGTCAGGCATGATCGTAACAGACCTTGATTGTCAGGGCCAAGAAACTTGGGTGTGATCCTTTAGTATGAGTCAGAATGTTTTGTGTGTTCAAAATATCTTGCTGGAAGGGGAAAGAGAGCTTCCCTCTTGGATCTTCCTAGCGTAAATTAGGCATCCTCCCTTTCCACATCATCTGGGAGATAAGTCATTCATATTGTCACTGTGTGTCACATTGTCTCTTTCCTAAGCTCACCTGGTCCCAATGCTCAGCATGGTGCCTGAGTAAAGTGTTGGTTTAGGCTCTTTATGAAATGTAGGTTTCATAGATGAATGACAGAATGGAGAAATACATTGGGGATGGTAGTGGAGAGAGGCAATGCTATTTCACAATCAAGTGGACGATCATAAGAACATGAACCAAGTGGAGGGAATACAGAGAAAGGGATACATTTAGGGAGTGTTTGGAAGATGTACTTCCAAAGTCAGTTTCTGAAGCCTGAGGAGCATCCACTTGGAAATTTCTGGCATGAAGCATCTAAAGCACAAGGGAAAAAAGAGATCTGAGTTAGTGATGTGGATTTAGAAGTCAACAGTAACCGGGCATGGTGATGCACTTTTATAATACCATGCTCAAGAGTCTGAGGCAGGAGACCTATGAGTTCAGACCAGCTTGAGCTACATAGAAATCTAGCAGGGGATATATAATAAAACTTTGTTTTGAAAGGGAAAAAGGAGGAGAGAAAGAGACAGAGACAGAGACAGGGACGGAGAATGAGAATGCATACATAGCACGTAGTTGGAATCAGTTGAAGCCTTGAACGTGAATGAGGCCAGGGGAGGAGGTGTGAACCTGGACAAAAGCAGAGTACAGACAGTCCTGCTGTGTACCCTGTGGCATTCTCCTGTACTCCTGGAAGCCAACCCCCAATTCTGGCTTCCTCTTCAGACTCTGGCACTCCACGGCTATAACTCCACAGTCCTAAGACATGCCCCAGACTCTGCCCCTTGATTGGCCAAGTAGCTTGTTGGGGCTCCCTCCTGGGACGTGGTCCTCTGCTACATCTACTGAGAGGCTTCTGGAAGATCCTGTCTTTCCATCTTTAAATTTCAGCTCCCTACCAACCCTACAGTAGTGTGCCATGTGAGGGCACATGAGGGAACCTCCTGGCACTGCACCCTGAAACCCATAATTCTTCTTTCTTCCTTCTGATGCCTTAGGTGCACTAATAAATTTTCCCTTATCCTATAACATCTGTGAGTCCTGGGACTCTGCCCTGACTTACAGACCCTCCAGCTTCAACCTAATGAAGCCTGTACCTTATTCTACCACTAGATGGAAGCAAATGAGATCGCAGAAGGTCCTCAGGCCACCGAGGATGCAAAGAGACCCTCCTTAAAGGACCCCTCTGCTGAAGACCTGAAGGAACCCACTACCCCTGAACCTGCCTTGGAGCTTTCCAGCTCACAGACAACTTTACAACCTCCTGAATACAAAGTCCTTTTTGTGACATCTACTTCACCAAATCAGACTGAGGCCCCTGAGGGCCTCCAGGAGTCTTCTCTCTCTGAATCGCCTTCAAAGTCCTATGAGGCTAAGGACTCATCCCAGGAGTCCTTAAAGGCCCAATTACCTGAAAGTCATTCAAAGTCTTCCCAGTCTGTGACCTCTCTAGAAAAAACCACCAGTGAGACCCCTTTGGAGAGCCCTGCAGATGAGATTTATATCTCTAAGGTCCAAAAATCTTCTCTTGGATCCTCACAGACAGACAATATCCCTTCGTCTTCCCCGTCTCCCCATAAGATTTCTTTTGATGAAGCCCCCCAGACCCAGGTCCCCAAATATGAGCTCTACCCACAGCACCCCTTTTCAGGGCCTTCTACCCAGGCCAACGTGGACACATCTGCAGAGCAGGAGGAGGCAAAGGAGGATGAGTTGATAGCGGGGACTAGTGACGGCACTGCTCATGCAGCTTCGCCTGAGTCTCATGGGAGCAAGAAGAAGGAGAAAAGAGTCAGTGGTAATTGTTCCTGCCTTTCCCCTGTCCCTGTGACTCTTGCACTGTCCTTGACTTACCCAGAAGTTGGGGGATTGGGCTACTCTTGCATATGGCTCCTCTTAGTTTTAAGGGCCTTTCACTGCCCCCCTGGTTACTCAGCCCCTCCTTTCCCAGGTTATACAAGCCGCCCAGTAGTCCCTGCTAAGAGGGCAGATCTGGTAAAGGCAATGCACAGAGAGCAATTTGGTGCTCAAATGAACAATCTTTTCCAATGGGAGAAGGATCCAGCCCTGAAGGCCATCCAGACAGGTGAGCTCTAGTGGCCTTCCAGAGACCTGAAACAGGCCCATGGACAGCTTCCAGTCCAACAGATTTGAGAACCTGCCCCTTCGATGTGGAAATGGCCATGTCACCTGCCTGGAATCTGGAAGGGGAACAGGTGGGCTAGCCTGAAAACAGTGGAGACTTCATATGGAGTCTAAGTAGCAATAGAGGGGTGTACTAAAGTAACTAAAATTGTTACCAACAGAAGAGTTTCGGCCAGCCCTATATCTAGCACCCAGATAGTCTATGCCAGAACAACCCTAAGGCAGAGGTAGCCCCAGGACCTTGGGCAGTCTCTAAGAGCCTTATTCTCATATGGATATGGAAAAAGATTTTGGTCCTTTTACTCCATTAAAGACTGTCACTTATGCATGCCAGATCCATGACCATATGAGTACCCAAAACCCTTGAGGGTCTCCATCAAAGAAGATATATATGCCCTAATAACCCTGTTGAGTTCAAGTCCCAGCTCAGATTTAGTAACTCCATTTTGAGACAGGGTTTCATGTAGCCTAGGCCATGAGCCTAGCCTCAAACTTCCTACAGTCAATGATGACCTTTAAGGATGATCTTGAACTTCTGACCCTACTTCTACTTCCTGAGTGCTGGGGTTACATGTGTGTGCCACCACATCTGGTTTTACATGGTGCTGGGGTTTTGTGACTTCTAGACAAACACACTACCCACTGAGCTATATCTAATGAGAACTCTTGGTAGTCCTGTGAGTGGAAGCTGCATCTGTGTAATGGGTGTGCAGATGAGCTGTGTAAACACATGACACACTGTGTGTAAGCATGTCTACCTGTGTGATTGGATGTCACCATCTTAAGGATTATTAATCTCAGTAGGAAAGCCACTCTGATCCTCTATGATTCTGAGCTGTCTAGATGAATCCAATAGAAAACACTGCATTTGCTCAGGCCTCTCATACTTCTCTTCTGCTTATGATGGAAGTATGACTACATCAACAGCACCAAGACATAAAGACAACCAAAAAATCCTGTATTCGTATCCTCCTCTATGTAATTTACCCACCCTACTTCCATGCCCCCTTCCCTTCATCTCTGTTTCTGAGTTTCCACTGATAGTGAAATCTCTGTTTGGTTATGTTAACATCCATTACTGTTACATTTCTCTTGCAAATACATCTTCTGTCCAGCCCCCTCTTTACTCTTTTAGATCCTCCTGTTCACTCCTTATTCTTCAAGACCTCTGTATTTCTTCTTTGTTATAAATGCCTGTGTTTTCCTGCTTAAACGACTAGTTTGTGTACTCAGTCCTACACAAAGATATTTGTGGTCTGTATCCTTCTGATGTTGAAGATCTTGAGTCAAGACTTCCTAAGAATATATGTGATGTGCAGATAAATTTGAATTGTGAGACTTTCCAAAAATTCTTTCAACAAACAGTTATGCACCAACTAAATGCCAACTGTTGAGCTGTAGTTGTGTAAGCAGTGGGGCAAGAAAGGTCTCAAGGATAAACCTTGCCCCTCAATTGCACAGTGAGACCCCACCTTAAAAAAAAAAAAACAAATAACAAAGATCCCTCAGACAATATGTTCTCTAATAAGCAATGCCAATAAGTAAAATGACCATTTGACAAATGACAATTTGTTTAGGAAACAAATTGTTATGCCCAGAGTCCTGCAGAGACAGAGGAGAGAGGCACCCAGTTGGGGATGCTAGAGTAATGATAAGCATTGGAAGGAAAGATTGCTGAAGCTAATATCTGTGAGATGGTAAGAAGAGATAATCAAGGTGAGTATGGTGGTGCACAACTATGAACTTGGAAGGCTCAGGCTGGAGGATCTCAAGTTTGAGGCTATCACAGTCTACATGGTAAGTTCCAGGCCAGCCTGAACTGCACAATAAAAGGAGCCTATCAAAATAAAATTTTAAGTAAAATAAAAGGGATATGACAAGACAAGGAATCTTAGGGAACTGTAGTGTTTTGCCTTGTTCAGGAATGTTGGTGGGGTCACTAATTCTACTCTGGAAATTGAGAATTGTGCGGGGATTTTTGTGCCAATGTGGAGTCATAGTTACATCCCAAGGGTACCTGAGAATCACCAAGATATTTTAAAATAGGACAATTAACAGATTTGTGTTTTAAATGATCACTCTGGCACCAGAGAAAGCAAGATTGAACACAGGAAGACTCCACTGGTAATAATCAAAAAGTCACTGGGTGACAGTAGAGACAGATGGAAAGGTCCAGGAAGCACTAACAAGGCAAACCTGATTATTGGATTGCTAGGTGTGTAGAGTAATTAAGAAATGTTAAATACCTCGAGTGACATCATCTAGGTTTTTGGATTGTCTGAGTGAAGTGAAAACAGATTTGGAGCACATACAAACCTGGTGAACTGAGGACAAAGGTTGAGAGGTTTTGAGGTGAAATCTGGGTAAGTGTTTAATGGAACATGCTGGTGAGAATGTAATAAGACAGGTGGTCCTGTGACTCTAAAGCCCAGGAGAGATCTAGGATGGAGATGCATCCTCCATGTAAAGACAGCTGTATGCAGTAAAGAAACCTAGAAATCAATAGTTGGTATAAAGCATGGCTATGCAAGCTATACCGAGTCAGAACAGCATCCAAGATATCATCTCTTCTGTCTGCCTAGTCCACTTCTAACAGGAAAAGAGTTTGGAATCAGAAAATGGAGTCCTGAGCCAGAAGCCAGTTTCTCCACTTTAAGGGCACAGAACAGAACAGAACAGAACAGAACAGAACAGAACAGAACAGAACAGAACAGAACAGAACAGAACAGAACAGAACAGAACAATAGAATCTGGGGTATTCTTTCCAGCCTCTATTCAAACACTGTATCTGAATGTTAGAACTGATTCCCTCGTCCGTGCTTAGACTGACCAAGCTTTGATCTTCAGGCAAACTCGGATTATTGTCTGCACATCACCTGCTCAGCCACTGTGTTCAGCTTTTGTAGAGTTCAGAATTCCTCTCATGGAGTCCTGGCTCCCACTCACCCATTGTGACTTTACTTCTCCCTGTGCTCTCAACCAAACATTCCAGGTACAGCAGGGTCCTGGCACTGGAAGCAGCCAAGACAAAAGCCACACCTGAACAGGTTTTAGAACCTTATGCACTATGGGTAAGATAAGAACACCTGGCCTGAAGCACAGAACTGTGGATTGCTACTGAAGGAACGTATTTGTTTTCAGTCAGACAGTCTATATTCTCTGACATCTCTTTCATGGCAGGATTAGAGATATGGATGAAAATATAGATCCTTCTCTTGTGGGGAAGCCAGGGACAACTTTTAGAAGAGGTGACATATCTGTTGAGGCCTCTAACAGCTACAGTACCCCAGGGGGACTCAAGCAAGATTCTGAACAAGAATTGGGATTCTCTCTGCTCTCATAAAGAATGAGAAGATAAATAGTAGGTGCTGTCCTGTTTTCCTGTCACCTATTAGCCCTGCCCTTGACTTGTGATAGGGCTTGCCATGAAGCTGGATTCTTTGGGACCCCACTGCTAAAACCAGGAACTTGTAGCCACCTGCTAGTGCCTGTATTCGAGGATACTAGCCTCACTTTCCTTTCAATATTTATTTATTTATTTTGGTCTTCCAGCCATGACTTCTGGCCTGCCCCCTTTCTCCTGATCTCTAGAGAGCCATCAGCCATCAGCCACCCTTCCTCAGGATCATAGAGGGCATTAGTTACATAACACCAGGACACAGAAGGGATAACATAGGTGTCAGCCTGGAGAGTTGGGGACAGGCTTCCTCCTACTTCTTGGCACCAGTCAAGCTTTCACCTTTTCACAAACTGTCCAGCTTTCACCTTTTCTCCAAGTCCTTCACTAATAATTCTCCTCAGGAGCCAGTCCCTATCACCTACTACCCACATGACCAGTTATCTTCTCTCTTGCTCTCCATAAACATTTCACAAAGGTTGAACTAGCATGGAGTGGGGAGAAGGTAAGACACTTTATAGTTACCAGAGCCTTGTGTCCATCTTCGGTGTCATCTGTCATCTCCCTGCTCTGAAACCAGAGACAGCCTTTGGTTATCTTGGTTAGACTGACAGACATGGGGTGGATTCTGAGATAGGAAGGGGAACGATGATACTTTGGAATGATAAAACTAATGAAAAAAGTCTAAGGGCCAGAAGTAAGGGCTCTCTAGTGGAGACAGACATAGCAGGGTGTGGTGGGAGGTTCCTCACCCCCACTCCAGGGCATCAGGACACTTGTAGGGAACTTAGGATTTTTTGTTTGTTTGTTTTCATTCTTCCCTATTAATCCCTCTATATGTAGGTCTCTACATTGGCTGGCGCTGCCCCCATTACTTATGGGACTGTTTCCGGATTGGAGATGAGTCCAAGTGCTTTTGTGGACATTTGTTTAAAGAACACCAGATCATCTCAGGTAGGAAAGAAGTTGCCAGACTTGTCAAGTATGGAGGGGCTACTGTACTCTTTCATGTCTTAAAGAAACAGAGAGAGACAGAGACAGAAAGACAGAGAGATGAACGTGGATTAGGAATGTGCCTGCATTGGGAGGCCAGGTTCTTCCAGGTGCTGGCCTAATTCTCCACCACCCCCATTCTCCTAGATCTGTCAGCACCCTGCAGTGTGAGCCAGTGCAGGTGCCTCATGTTTTGTTTCATCCCATCACGCCCAGAGGAGGTGGGTGAGTTCTGGCTTAAGAGACGGAGCACCTTTGATCCCAAAGCCTGGAGAGCCCAATGTCGTTGTAAACATACTCATGAAGAACATGCAGCCACCGGAGCTCATCCCTGCAGGCACCATGGTAACTTCTAGTACAAAGGGGTGTTTGTGTGGGGAGAAGCAGATTTAAGAGGAACATGTCAGTTCATGGGATGCCATTAATTCCTTATATTCTTCTTGGTGCATTTTTGCCATAGGGTGTTGCTGCAACTGTTTCGAGTCGAATTTCCTCTGTGCAGCCTGTGACCGGCGCTGGGAAGAACATGAGACTTTCTTCGAGACTGAAGAGACCAGGCGAAGAGGAGGGAGACCTTACGGTGAGGGAACAACCTGGGACAGGACCATGCCAGCATCTGTAATCAGAAGGCCATACAGAAAGGCACTCCCACCCTCCCTCATCCTCTTCAGGTGTTACATCCCCAGCCCACCCCACATCCCATGCCTGCACTGCCTTCCATCCCCAGAAGCAGACTATGTGCCTTTTGCAGAGATGCCTGCCCTCCGAGATGTCATCCTCACCAACTCTGACCTTGAGGCCCTCCAGAGGCAGGGTGTCTCTGGCCAGCCCAGTTCCCACCCTAGATCCCCTGCATTCCCTGGCCCAAGCAGCCTCCAGCCTGGCCCTAAACCTGACCCCCATACCTGACCCTTTCACCTCTGCTCTTCCCTCCTACAGGGACAGACACTGTCAACAACTGGCACAGGCCTTTCTGAGCCTGGCCAAGATCAACAATAAAAGTGGACGCCAATAGAATCTGACCTGGCTCTATATGGGACAGGTAGCATCAAGACTCAATTTAGAGTCAGCTCTAACTACAGGCAAGAGACAGCACCAAGCAGAATGAAGGCTGACTCCAGCCATCTTCCTCTATCATGGCCATTCAAGTTGCCAGCCCTGACACTAGGAGACTAGCTTCAAGAATGACAAGGAGGAGGAATGCTTGAACAATAGAATAGGCAGTGATTTCAGATGTAGCTGGGGTTCCATAAGGCAAAGGCATTACAATTAGTAGGTGTTTGGAGGCTTTGGACAGTGTGGTTTCACACTGGCGTGGTGGAAGTGAACACCAAATATCCACTAATTTGAAGGAGTCTCTTCAAGGAGCTTGGGTAAGAAGTAGAAGAAAGAAATCAGACAGTACCCAGGCTGTAAATGTAGGGTCACCTTGCCACTGAGCCCTAGGAGTGAAACTTGAAAGTTGCCAACTTTTTAAGAAGGAAAGGGGGGAGAAGCTCATATACAAAAAGACCTTGAAGGATGCGGAAGGAAGAAGAGATGCCTGGCAAGACAAGATCTCAGACGTGGAAACAAGGAGTGAGGATGAGGCAGAGGTGAAGGTATTTGCTCCAATGAAGAGAGACTTCATTTCTTAAGACAAAGAAGGGGGTAAGAGCTGCAGAAAGTAGGACCTCCTAGAAGTTCCGCTCTGGTGACATTATATATTCTCTGTGAAGCAAGAAAGGAATTAATGGGGAATAGGAGACTGGAAGAAAAAGGTGAGCGCTGGGGAAGGCTAATGTGGGGAATCAGAGAAAACCATGACAAGCATGTAGTTTAGGATTTATTGTGGTTGGAAGTGAGAATCTGGTTAGAGAAGAGAGGCAAAACTATTTAGGCCAATGGCTGCTGACGGAATGGTATCGGGACAGTGAGGAAAAGAAGGCAAAAGCAATGAGCCTGAAGATGCGAAGGTGTGGTGCACTGGGGAGAAGTGATGCGGGGAAACAGCTGCTATCGCGGGAATAAGAACTCTCTAGTGAGGTTCAGGAGCAGGTGTGCTGGCATGGACTGCAACACAGGACAGTGATGGGGTCTGCAGAGCATGCAGCTTTCAGAAAGCAGCTGCAGGTGATGGCGAGTGTTTTGAATAAGGAGGCTGTAATCTGCATCAAAATTGTGAATAGCAGGGAGTAAGAGAACTCCATAGGTGATTTTATGGCATAGGACAGGCTGACACTGGTGGGTTTTGTGATGCCAGGTTCCCTCTTTGGGCCTCAGTTGCTAGATCTATGACAGGAATAACCTGTGTTGCCTGCACTCCATAAAAACCCAAATAAATATTCAGCTTGGCAGCTCAGTGCCCCCTAGATTTCCACCCTCTTCTCATCTCAGCTCCACTGATCTCTTGCCCTTCTCTGGGGCAACTTTCAAGTTTCACTCCTAGGGCTCAGCGCCAAGGTGACCCTACATTTCCTGATATTTAGAAAGGGTCATCTGTCTTCACAAAGGAAGGGATGCAGTCTAGATTGCTAGGACCCCAGAGCAAAATTTATGATCACATGTCATCCCTTGGAATAAGAAAGGGCTAATAGTATACCTGTGTAAGGCTGGAGAGATGGCTCAGAGTTAAGAGCACTGTCTGCTCTTCCAGAGGTCCTGAGTTCAATTCCCAGCAACCACATGGTGGCTCACAACCATCTGTAATGAGATCTGGTGCCCTCTTCTGGCCTGCAGGGATACATGCAGACAGAAAATTGTATAAATAAACAAATCTTAATATATATATATATTATCTGTGTAAAAAAGAGTGCTAATATTCCAGAAGTTTATCAACATTGGTTGTATGTGCTGTGGTACTCATATTAAAATAATTCAATTATAGAAGAATTACTGTGATCAGGTCATTGGGGACATGCTGTATAGTCATTGCAAAGTATATAAACTATACTAATTTGAAAAATATAAGAGATAATAAGCATGCCGTTTATTACTATATATAAGAAAATGGAAAAGTGAAACACCAAATATTCAACAATTATTGAGCATTTATTTATATAACAGGTCATGTACAAAAACAAAACAGCTTCTGAAGACATAGGGGTAATTTACACTATTGTGCCAGACCAGAACTCACCAGATGGTGAGTATTTGGGGGGATACTGATGTATTTTGCTATGTAGACCAGGCTGGCCTGGAATGCATGAGTGATCCTTCTGCCTATGCCCCTCAAGCGGAATACTCCGTTTCTTATTTTAAAAATATAAAGAAATGGAGAGACGGTTCAGTGCTTGAGTGTTTGCCACTCTTATAGAGTACTGAAACTTGGTTCACCTCTGGTGGCTCACAAGCACCTGTATATAACTCCAGCTCTACAGAGTCTCTGACACTGTCTTGTGTGTGGCCTCTGCAGGCACCCACGTGGACTTACACAGACACACACATACACAGAAATCTCTAGGTGCTGAGGAGATGGCTAAGAAGTTAAGGGCTCTTGGAGAGCACTGGAACTCAGCTACCAGCACTCAGATCAGGTTCCCAACAGCCTGTAATTCCAGCTCCAGGTCATCCTATGCCTTCTAGCACCCATGGACACCTTCACTCACATGCATATAACCCACAAGCAGACACATACACAATAAAAAAAAAAAAGTACTACACAAAGCAAACTTGCTGCCTCACAGAGCTAACGGCACCCCACACCACTTATGAAGTGAAAAACAAACAAACAAAAAACTAATGTACAGTACAATATACATAGGATGGTCCTATCACCTGTTTAAGGGGGGTGAGGGGAAATGCCCTGAAAACATGCATAGTATTGATGTAAATGGGAGCAAGAACATAAAACAAATTGACGGAAATTTTTAAAAATACTTCCATACAATATGCTTTAGATCTTTGAAGTGGTTAAAGAACTGAAATGGTTACGAACCTACCCTACAGATCCCAGTTCACGTTTAGCCCCGCCCGTATGACTTCTGGAACCAATAAACAACGAATATCTTCAGAATCCCGCCCTCCTGGCCAAAGCGGAGACGAGTCTGCACTACTTTTAGCCTTTTGTGCAGCAGGTGGCGAGGCCCGGTCCTCTTCCAGTGTGGGGCAGAGCTAAGAAGGAACAGGCCTCCAACGAGCAGGTCCCACCCACTCAGGATCCTCGACCAAAGCTTGGTCAAGGTGGTGAACCTGAGCCCATTAGGAAAAAAATCCTACCCCCAGATTTAGTTCTTCCAATGCCGTGGGAATATATCTAGAGCGAAACTAAGGGATCCAATGGAAAAAGAATTTACACACCACTAAACAAAAATTGGCCTTGCTTTGGCAGAGGCAGCCAATGAGCTGCACGGAGGGATCCTCCCCCAACCGAACGCAGCCAATGGGGCTGCGCCTGCAAGGCGGCCGGCTCTGGGAAGATGGCTGCTGCCGTGCTGCTGGCAGTGGGTTTGCACACCGCGCGCAGCCCCGCGGGGGCCGCGTGGGCCCGGGGGGCGCAGGTGAGAAGCAGCAGGAGGGAAGAGGGGGCTTGCAGGCACTGGCGCATTCCGGGACCCGCACGCGTCGCAACTCCTTGCAGAACCACTGCCTTTCCCAAGGGTCAATTTCAGGGACTCTGCGGTCGTGACACCAAGAAGCGATCTGGCTTCC